AGCCCAACATGACTATTCTAGCCACAAATAATGACATGTACACAGAACAAAAATTATCTCCCATTCTCTTAGCAATCTGGAAAGTCTATGTCGGTCGTGTCAAAGTAAAAGACTGTGTAGTGGAACGTTAAACAATACAATCTGGTTCAGCTCAGATATCACTATTATAAAAACAACAGAAAGCTCCCTTTCTGTCTTTCTTATCTACAGAAACTTACTTGGGCGACGAAACTTGTTGCTTCTTGTGCTGGATCATTTTTGATATCTGAACAAACAAATCCACGACGTAGTTCTTTAACACTGACGTTTTTAACATTAAAGCCGACATTGTCACCAGGTCCGGCTTCTAAAAAGGGAGAAAAAAGACAACTGTCAGTAAACATTCCTTTACCGGATTCACTAGACAAATGCATCAACTTTTCTTTGTCCGTATTTCTTCGTGAATCGAGTAGAGTACCTTCTAATGCTTCATGATGCATTTCGATTGATTTGACTTCAGTTTGTAAACTAGATGGTGCAAAGTTGACGACCATGTTTGGTTTCAATAAACCAGTTTCAACTCGTCCAACGGGTACTGTTCCAATACCACCGATTTTGTACACATCTCTAAAATATTCAAATAAAGCGAATGAGTATTGTTATTCTGCGCAAAGATAGCGATGTTATATTTGAAGGAAAAGCAACGATAGAAATCAAATAACTCACTGTAATGGTAAACGTAACGGCTTATCCGTTGGTCTTGCTGGTGGGACAACAGCGTCCAATGCTTCCAATAATGTTTTGCCAGTGGCATTGCCCTCTTTACGTTCGATATTCCATCCTTTGAACCATGTCATTTTCTCCGATGCTTCTAACATATTATCCCCATGCCAGCCACTGATTGGTACAAATGGAACAGCAGCTGAATTATAACCGATTTTTTTGATATAAGTCGATACTTCTGTTTTTATTTCATCGAAACGTTTTTCACTGTACGGTGGCTCAGTCTAAACGCGAAAAAAAGATATACATCGACTGAATGGTAGAGAAAGAAGAAAATGTCAACTTACTGTGTCCATTTTATTGACGGCAACAATCATTTGTTTCACACCTAGCGTATAGGCTAGCAATGCGTGTTCACGTGTTTGACCATTTTTGCTAATACCAGCTTCAAATTCACCAGTTCCAGCAGCGACAACCAAAACAGCACAATCGGCCTGAAAGAAAGAAAAAGGGAAATAGAATAAATGAAAGGCTTTTTCGCTCAACAAAAAGGGAAACACTTTACTAAGTAGTTTCCCTTGTGAGTTGTTTTAGAAAATATCGCAAGAAACACTAGTTTTAGCAGATCAGCGTCGAATTTTGACACTTACTTGAGATGTTCCTGTAATCATGTTTTTAATAAAATCTCGATGTCCGGGAGCATCAATGATTGTTATGTAAAACTTTTGTGTTTCAAATTTCCACAATGAAATATCGATGGTAATACCACGTTCTCGTTCGGCTTTCAATTTGTCTAATACCCAAGCATATTTGAATGAACCTTTGCCCATCTAGATAAAGACAAGAATACTAGGTCAGAAGATGCATGTTATTCTTTCATAGTCAAACTCACTTCAGCTGCTTCTTTTTCGAATTTTTCAATGGTTCGTTTGTCAATACCACCACATTTGTAAATCAAATGACCAGTTGAGGTTGATTTTCCCGAATCGACATGACCAATAACGACGATATTTATGTGAATTTTTTCTTTACCCATT